GATGTGGCTGATGCCTCCAGGTGGGGCTCTGCAGAGGCCTGGACCCTTCCTTGGGAGAGGAGACAAGACACACTAACGAATCCATCAGGCTTTGGAACAAGAGGCTTGGTCTCTTGGACTTGAAATGGCGGGAGAAAGCATTCATTCCTCCAAAGCCGGTACTGGAACCTTGCCATTTTTCCTGCCCCTGGCACCTTATGAACACCCGTGGCTTCTAAAACACAAAGACACAGACAGACACACAGAGTAAGAGAGACGTGGGTGAATCTAGGACCCCTCGAGCTAACTCCTCTTTCACAAGCTGTCCCAAGAGAAAGAGAGAGCATCACTTCCAGACCAGCTTAAGGAAATTTCCAGATGGCAGAGAATCTCAGGGGTCAACTGACATTGCCCTTTGTGTGGAGAATGACAGGGGACAAACAGCTGCTCCAGAAGAAGTATAAAATGCTATTATCTGAGGAAATGTCCTGGGTCCAGCACGGTCATCCTGAGGTTGCCAGAGACCATGGTGCGTCTGTTTTCCAGAAGCCCAGGGCTGGGAATCAGGCTGCCCCATCTGCTTCTGAGCAGATGTGTGTATAGTATACACACACCACATTCACACACACACACACCTGCCTCTGTCCACTTCTTCCTTGCCAATAAAACTTCTAGACCATGCATGGCCCCTAGAGAGAAAACGCCTCTTTTTTTCTCTAGTAGAAGAAATCAGAGCAGCTTTTCGGGCAGTGACGTCACAAAGCCCACTCTGGTCCGCCCTCCGTGCCCCCCATCCCCGCCCTGTGAGAGGCAGCCTGTCTCCGTTCTTCCAGGGGACACAAGCACCTGTCCTCAGCCTCTGGCACTCATCGCAGTGGTACCTGTTCCCGATGTCAGTGGGAGGTGAAGAATTCCCTGGAGGGAGTGGGCCTGGGGCAAAGCCCTGCAGCCCCTGCTCCGGGTCACCCTCTACTCGGTAACTGGCTGCCAAAGCAGCAGCCCATGGCCACCAAGAACAGAAAGGCAGCTGAGGCTGGAGTTCCACGGAGAGGCCTGGAGCCCATCATCCCTGGGTTCAAGTCCCAAACGGGCCACTCGCGAACTCTCTGGTTGCTTTTCGGCAAGCCGCTAACCCTCCCTGGGCTCTGCTTTCCACAGGATCGTGACCCGTAACACAGGCTTTTCGAAGGAGTCAGGGCCCTCTTGTAGGCCCTCAATGGAGGTTTCTTCCCTCTTCTTCTTCTCAGAACAGGCAGGGGGGCTGCGGGCCGGGGCCCTGATTGCTGACCTTAAGGGTCCGCATCCCTGGAAGCCCGGACCCTTTGGGGAAACAGATCCCTCCGTAGGCTCACTGTCCCATCTGGACAAGGTGGTTGGGTACCAACCAGTGAGCACGGGTATGTTACCATGACAACCAGCAGGCGGGCACGGGGTGGGTGGGGGATGCTCAACTGGCTGACTGTTCTCTAAGGCTCTGGGTGTGCTGCTGTGAGTTTTGTTTTTTAAATTCCCTTTTAAAAACAAGTTCCTCCTGGGGCAGCTGGGTGGCTCAGATGGTTAAGCGTCTGCCTTCGGCTCAGGTCATGATCCCAGGGTCCTGGGATCGAGCCCCGCATCGGGCTCCTGGCTCGGCGGGGAGCCTGCTTCTCCCTCTCCCTCTGCCTCTGCCTCTCTCCCTGCTCATGCTCTCTCTCTCTCTCAAAAAAAAAAAAAAAAAAAAACCCAAGTTCCTCTTTCTCACCTGGACAGACAGAAGGCATTTCTCTTGTCATTGAAACCGAGGGAGAACTGATGGCTGGTGTCAGTCCTTTGAATCTGGCCCTCTGCCAGAGGTGCCCATGGCCACCTGTGGATGTGTCCCCGTGATTTCCCTTCCCCTGTGCTAGAAAGTGGGGGGCTGGCCTGGAAAAGCTCAGAGAGCGCCTCTTTCCGGGATTTGCACCCAGGAGTAATTCATGTTCCAGAAGCAATGAAAGCAAATATGAATTTCCTGGGCTCCTTCCAAACACAAAGCTGTTCTCAAAAGCTTAGCCCTGGGTGACAGGGCTGGGACTGGGGAGGAGCACAGCCTGGGCAAGCAGGGGCACGTGATGCATCGGCCTGTCCGCAGGTCTTAAAAAAGGTGGGCCTGGAAGCACCCCGAGTGGGGAAGGAATGCCCAAAACACCTTGGGGAGGATAAGGACCCAACGGACCCAGAGAGCCCTGCCAACTGGTGGTGCAAGGGGTAGGCAGCAGCGCGACCTGCTCTCACTCCTGTGACCAGGAGGCCTCCGAACTCTCTGGTGGAGCACGAGACAGAGACACAGAGGATCCAGCTACCCACTCATCCACCTAAGGGCCACCTGAACCCACTCTACCCTCTGTCTTGCTGAGATGCCCGCTTCGCCGGGGGGCGTGTTCCTGGGTTCCTTGCAGGTGTCAAGGAACCATGTGACACAGTCTGACCAATGGAGGACAGAAGTCTCTGGGTGGAGCTTCCGGGAAGGAGGGCAGGTTCAGCTTGTTCATCTTCCCTCTTCCTACCTGGAACCCAGATGAAAAATCGGAGGTAGGGCAAGCACCTAGGGCCATGAGGTAACCACGAAGAAAGGAAAGAGAGCTATAGAATCCTTGGCTCTGACATCCCTGAGCTGAGCAAAGGATGCCAACAACTACCCGGCTAGATTTCTCAGGATGAGGGAAAAGCAAAGTCCCTGGTTGTTTAAGTCAAAGCTGGTGGGAGGAGGGATTCTGAGATTCCGGACTGAATCTAGGGATTTCCCACCACCATCTTCTGAGAATATCTAACATCTCAAGCAGGACAGGGGGTTCCAGGGCTAACTTCCCCTTTTATGGTTGCAGGGACGGTGACAGGGTGCTCACCCAAGGTCACCCAGCTGTTAACGGCAGAGCTCCGTCTGCACCCTGTCCAGCACTGAGCACTGTCACTCTGTTATCTGATGCGGTGAGACCTGTCTCCAGCTCTGGACCTAACTCCCTGAGTCACTGGGTGGACAGGAGCTGCTGGGACCTCAGTTTGCTCCCCTGCAAAATGGGCACAGGTTGGAACAAGACAGTCTATAAAAGCCCTCCCACCTCTGAACACTAGAAAAACCAGGTAATTTAGCATTTCCTACTCCATTTTGCTTCCCTTGAAAGTTCGATCTGGTAATTCATCCCATTATCTGCTTTCTGGGCTTAGCTTGCATCACCCATGTACTAAACTAAGGAAAGTAATTTTTGATTGGGAACATCCTAATTTAAAAAAAAAAAAAAAGGAGGCCAAAATTGAGTTTTCTGAGGGAATGGGTATCAGGTGCAAGGAGGTCAAACAGGTTTTTCTCGAATGACCAATGGATTGATTGGCAGCAGCTGCCTGGAGTGGTTTTTTTTTTTTTTAAGATTTTATTTATTTATCTGACAGAGAGAGACACAGCGAGAGAGGGAACACAAGCAGGGGGAGAGGGAGAGGGAGAAGCAGGCTTCCCGCGGAGCAGGGAGCCTGATGCGGGGCTCGATTCTAGGACCCTGAGATCATGACCTGAGCGGAAGGCAGATGCTTAACGACTGAGCCACCCAGGCACCCCATGCCTGGAGTGGTTTTGAGAAGGACTCTGAGGTCCATTTGGGCTGGAGAGGGGGAGGGGAAGGTCTCAGTAATCTATTATCAGTGTCTGCCCTGGATGCAGTAAGAGCAGTAAGTGTCGGTGTATTTAGTGCTGGGCCTGTGCTGAGCTCCTAGTTCACGGCCTCACCACCTCTCCTGTACTGCCCCAGACTGGTGACAGTCAGACTGGCTGAGAAGAGTGGGGTGGGGGGAGGCCCGCTGGAGTAGCTGAGTTCCCATGAGAGAGGGAATTAGGGCACAATCCTGCCTGGGCCAGGGACACAAGAGGCTTACTGGACATCCCTTTGCTGCCACCAGCGTGAGCCGCTCCTCAGGATTCACAGAACACCCTGGACCCCTCACCCCCTGTCCCCCCCAGGCACAGCCTCCCTTCCTCCCTCGGGGGTCCCTCAGTGCCCCTGCTCTGGGGACTAACAGTGGGCAGGAGGTGGGGAGGGGCAAGAGCTTATCCTAATTCTTGGCCAAATCGATCACTAGAATGTTTATTTCCAACTCAGAAAATCTCCAGTGGGGAAAAGTGGGCTTCTCAGTTTGGTATTTCCAACCACAAATTCCTACCATGACCCATGGCTGCAGATGAATAATTGCGCCAGGAACAGAAGTGACAATAAACATGTAGCATTTGAGGGCTTGCACATCCAGAGCAAAGAGCACCTACCAAGGGGCCGGGCACCTGAAAGCACCAAACGGAAGGCACTCTTGTTTTGGATGCCATTGTCCCCTCTGCTCCGAAGTGGAGCTCCTCTTGAGTCTCCCCTGCCGTCCGCACCCGCACATCCCACCCCTCACCCTCGGGTCCTGCATGGGACTTTCGCCGTGAGTTCAGACTAAGAGAACGGACACGGTGGGGGGCAGCTGAGGAGGGGACCGGCACCTTTGATCATATTCACTGTTTTCCTCTCCCCCCTCCTCCCTTCCCCCCTCCTCCTTTGCCTTCCCTCTTCTCCCCTCCTCCTCTTCCTGCCCCCTCCATATTCCCCCTCCCCTCCTCTGCTTCCCCCTCCCATACTCGCCCCTCCTCCTCTGCCCTCCCCCTTCTCTCCTCCTCCTATCCCCTCCATCCTCCCCCCTCTTCCCCTCTCCCTCTGCTTCCCACTCCCATACTCCCCCCTCTTCCTCTTCTTCCTTCTCCCCCTCTTTCCTTCTGTCTGTCTGTCTGTCTCTCACACACACACACACACAAACACACAGAGTTGGGCTGTGCCATGATATTCACATTTCTTTCCACGACTCTCACTCTAGGGACAGAGGAAAAATAAACACACAAGGTCCCACTGGGTCACCTTTCTCAAATGGCACTTGAAAGCTCTTTGCGGTTGTTGTTCAGGAAGCTGGAAAGTCATAAAAATCATAACTGTCTGCATCCACTTTAAGCAGAAGAGATTACACTTGACAAGCACCAGCAAGTGAGCTATTATTTCACAACTGTATTTATAGGAAAGTAATGAAAATATCAATTCTCTTTTAAAAAAGTTATGCAAACAAGCAGGCTCTATGGCCTCCTTATCAAAGTTTAAAAAATATGCAGAGACATTCTCCACTCCCGCCCCTCCCGGCCAACAGCCTGCACAGTGCAGATCCCCCCTTCCCGACATGGGCCACAGGGGACACAGCAGCCTTCGCCTGGAGCACCTGCTCCTTGATGGAGCTCCTGACATGGGGGTTCCCGCTACAGTGAGCCTGGGGGTGGGGGTGCCTGGCTCTGTCTGGCCTTCCTGCCTCTCGCTGTGTGGCCATGGCTAAGTTCCTCCCCTCTCTGGGCCTCAGCCTCCCTGCCTGCAAAGTGGGAGCGTGGGAACGGAGATTGCTCGTAGGCCCTGCCATAGTCTGACCTTCCAGCACCAGACCCGCACGGCCCAGTGAGCACCTGGGCTTGGCCAGCTGGGCCCAAGGCCTTGGCTCACTCAGCCCTGATTTTCCACGGCAGTGGTCCCTGGAGAATGGTCTTGTGGCTCGGTTTCCTGGTATCTGGAGAAAAGTGTGAGTGCGAACCAAGACCTCTTCTGGGCAGTACCATCTGCCTGCCTGTGAATGTCCAGCTCCTCTGAGTTTCAGGGAAGCCTGGGTTCCGGCCCTCCTCGGCCGCTGGAGAGGGAGGAGCTGAGTGTGCAGGAGTGCTGCGGGAAGGGGCTTGGTGCCGGCAGTCAGGACCCTCCTGGATCCCCCGTTTCCCTCCCTTTACAGGGCCTTTCTGGGTCTGGACACTTTGTGACCCCAAAGGCCTGCAGGACCCCGTCTTGGTCTCCTACAGACGAAGTCAGTTTGTAAAGAATGGGCACTAGGCGTTTTCTGAAAGGACACTTAGTGTTGATTGAGGAAAAACACGATCCAGTTATAACGCCCTTAGGAGCCATCCAAAATTCCCTGGGGAGGAAGGGACATGTTTCTGGCCTCAGGGCCCAGCGCAGGGCCCCTCCCTAGGGGCTGCAGGGAGATTAACAGCCTTGCCCTGCCCAGAGGGAGCCTCCTTTGGGGTTTGGGGCGGCCTGGGCCATGGCCCCTTGTGAGGCCATGTGTGGGACACTCGGGGCCCAGAAGACCCGCCCCTCTCTGAAGTCCCTTCTCCGGGGAGGAAGAGGCAGAGCCCCGCAGACAGGCTCAGCTCCAAGGTCCATCTCTGATCTCTGTCCTGGACCCTCGATCCCTGGTGCCTGGCCTCCCAGCTGCTCCCCTTCTGGCCCTTCGGCTTGAGTCGCAGACCGTGAAAAAGCAGAGAGCAACAGAAGGGACGCATCTTCCTGGGGGTGCCGCACACAGCGCGCTCCCCATTCTGCATGAAGACTCCCGCGACTAAGTTACTCTCCTTCCCTTCTCCTTGCACACAGCACGTGGGGCCCCAGCTCAGCGTGCCTTCGGATCAGTGTCATGGCCGCGGACCTCCACTGTCACTCTGTGCTATGGGAGGCTGGGGGGGCGGGGGGTTGTGGTTAGCGCTCCCGCCCCCGCCCACGGAGCCCCCTGCTGTGTGCTGTTTCATTGCTCTGGGTCTGCTCGCTATAGCTCTTCTTTTCCTTCCTTGATACCACTCTATCACTTGTCACTTGTCACTGCTGTCACCAGGCCCGCCTTCGATAATCACCGCTTCTGCTTCCAACCCACAGAGTCTAAGCTGCTGTCCTTTGTCCTCACTGTACTTAAAGCAAGAGTAACCGGGCGCCGAGGGAGGGCCTGCGTGGCTCTTCCACGTCCGCAGCTCAGGGGTCTTCTCACTAACAGCTGGGCTCGGGGCTTGGCTTCCGGGCAAGCGGTGGCCATAAGTGACATGTTATTTGCTCCTGCTTTTCAGGGCAGGGGAGGAGGGGGACTGCAGACCAAGGCAAAATGCCACCCAATCCCACTGGACCCACAAAGTGCTAGGAATCCGCCCCCCACAAAGAGACATCATATATGAAACGATAAAGACTGAGCATCTACATACAGAGGCTATAAAAATTCTATCCAGTATCCCCTAGTCACACACAGGACAGCTTCTGTATAAATAGACTAAGACGACACCGTATAAAAAGTGGTTTTCTTTGGAGAACGTCAGTAGAGTACGTGTCCGTCGGCCGCCTGCCTCCGCAGCCCCCGAAGCAGTGCTGGGGAGAGCGGAGGGATGGAGAGGGGCCGCCTGGGGTCAGGTGGGCGGCGGGCCGCTGTAGCGGAGCATGAGCCTGAAGGAGCTGGCAAAGTTGTTGACCATGGAGCAGCTGCGGCTGTCCTCCCCGACGGGGAGCAGGAAGAGCAGCAAGAGTAAGAACAGGAGCTGCAGGGGGAGCGCCACGCGGCACACCTTCGGGAAGAGGGAGCGGAGTCCTCGCCACCGCGCCGGCCACCGCAGACTCTGCAGAACAAAGGCAGGTGTGAGTGGGCGCAGGGGCCCTGAGTGGGAGGGGAGGGCGAGGGGGACGCTAGGCAAGCAGAGTCCCTGGGCTGACTGACTGTCTGACCGCGCGGGTCTCAGTTTGCCTGACTGTGAAGTGGGGCTAATGTCAATTTTGCCAGAAACAAAGATCTCTGGTTTTCTCAAATCATTCAAGGTATGAAAGGTACCACCATGTTTATCATCATGCTCTTCAGCATCACTTTCTCCTCCTTCTTCATCACTACCTTCACCGTCAACACCACCAATATCACCCGAAGGCCAGGCACGCAGGTCCAAATGCCTAATGAACTTCCTTGCGGCAACATCCATGAAAGTGGCCAAAAGACATTTCCTAAAGTCTAGAGGGACTGGTTGGGTTGTGGCCTCATGGGATGTCCTCACTGCCAAAGAGTGCAGGCCCAAGAGCTGGGGACTCAGGGAAGTAGAGGTCCCGTGGCCAAAATACAGCATGGTGCAGGGCAGAGGCCTACCTCTTAGGAACCTGGCTGACTAGGTTCCAACGTAGACTCTGTCACACAGTATCTACGTGACCTTGGGAGAGTCAATAACCTCTCTGGGCCGTTTCCTTCTCTGCAAGATGGGGATAAAACACCTACCCCCATTTGCCAGGCTGTAGAGAAGACTCAAAGTATATTTATGTACCAATTTAAAAGTATATAAGCTTTTACTAGTAGGACTATTATTGTAGAATGTATCTTTTGGCCCCCTGAAGAAACAAAGGGTCACCCTCCAGGAATCCAAAGCTACAGTCAAGTGATGGTGATGATGGTGAGGAAAATGATGATGGTGAAGGTGATGACGGTGGTGGTG